CTGTTTGCCCGAGTGATCGTTCTTTGATTCTTAGCTGCGGAGTCTCTTGGGACTCCGCGCGTTTGCGCATAGAGATTAGAATTCAAATTGCGGCAACCGATTAGTTACGCAACGAAATCAAACGGACACCTGTAATTGCAGTTATCAAACGTGCGATAAAGCTTGGAATTCCTGAGCAGCGTTTGCGGGCTCTGCGCCAAAATCTTGTATAGAGTTGCTGCCAGCGCTAACAATAAATTAGCGGTTTTCATTTTCTTTAGAAATAAATGCATCCCACGTTCTATTTATTATTATCGCTATTAATAGATAGAATTTTTAGTATATACAAACAAGTTGGGACGGAAAGACTGACGTTGATTATAAAATAAACAAAGTATCGAAATACAGAAGTTATATGGAATTTGATTTGTTTTGAAATATTTGAGGGAACTATTTTATAAGAAAGTTACGAAATCCATAAACAATTCTCTATGTTTTGGTTTGTAATTGGGTAATGTTTTACTTACGTTTAAATTACGTTCAGATATCATATACTTAGTATGTGAGACGTAACAAATGTATCATTTTTTCGATCGTTAGAAGCGTATATGTATGTAGCCGGTATTTCCTACGATTCATCGACTTGGCATCACTATGTCGGTCGTCTCATGTTATCTATTGAAAATGAGCACCTCTTACTCCCTAACCGCAAACTGCAATGATATACGGTGGGAACTAGCTGAGCGATACTTGGTAAAAAGTGAAATCATCTTACGTTCACGGGATAGTATAGTAGACGATTGCCAAATAGTCGATGACAATTATACCTGCATTTACTCTTTAAGTACGGTTAGAAAGCGTATAAAATTACAGGAAGCATCGACCGTTTGCTTTTACCCTAAGATTCACGGACATTCGATCTCTTGCAAAAAATAATTACATATGTATAAATGTAATGTCCATAACGAAAAGTCAATGAGTATATAACGTTTAGAATTGTATGAATAAATTTTGTAATATTATACGTTCACAGTCTGTATAACGTATTCGTCCATTATAAACGTGTAATTATCGTATTCGAAGATACAAATATTTAACATTATAGTATATTTATGACGTTTGCCAGACGTCATATCTCTTTGATTGCACACGTATTAAAGATAAGAAATGGTTGTTCGTTTGCACTATAAACTGCAAAAATTAACGGTACTTAATAATGTTATGTTGTTAATAATTTTAGTACAAAATATGATATGCTACCCTTTACTGTTACATGTATGAAATTAGAATGAGATCCTATTTCCCGTAAAATACTTTTTAATAAAAATATATACGGTGCTTGTTTACATACGACGGTATGCAGATACATCTGGGGCGCAAATTCTTAATGGTTCTAACACCGGTCTGCAGTTTGGTACGTCGAGTACAGCTGCACTTACAGTTGTACGACCTTTCCCATTCGAGCACTCGAACGGCTACTACCAACCTAAAACTAGTCGTTCACTAAACCCCATGTGAAAAATAAATGAACAGTGTCGCTGATCACGTACCATCTACGTATGAACCACGTTTTTTTTATCGTGCATCGCAAGAATGTGTACGTATGTGTTGTTCTACGACAGAGATTAAAGTAAAATGAACTGAACATGCCTGGCGGTCGTGCTGATTTGCATTCCATCATTATCTCGGCTTGGTTTTCCTGATACTGACAGTTCGTTCCAACATTATTATCGTAAGCACAAGTGTGCGATGTATGTAAATAGAGACACACAGCCACTGTCAGTCAGTCCATAGTATCAAACTCTGCATACACACATTCACATAGAGTATATGTACGTTCAGTGACGACACTTTAAAAATATTTAAAGAATTTCCTCCGTTTATATTAACTTGTAAATTAATATTAAATATATAAATTATATCGTCTTTCTTATTTTTACCGGTTTGACAGTGATCTCTATCATTATTAGTCTGTTAAAATTAAAATATTGTTTCATAGATTATAGTCGAACGCTGAACATTTTTACAATATTGAAAAATATTTACGTTTATTATGGGAATATTTTAAAACACTATGTTTATTTGACTCATTGGTAGTAAAATTACTAAATGTAAGAAGATCATGTTAGATTTTCGAAAGTAAAAGTGAAGATTTATTATGATTATTATTAAGCGCAGTGGCTCTTAAATGCCTTAGTACGTTACTGTCCAATGGCTGCCTGGACTTTGTATCTGTTTCGTTGGCAGCAGTGCAGAGAGTAGTATTCAGTGCGTCGTGCGAAAAGCAGTCGAGCTTGGCGAGGTCGCCTTTTGCGTTGGCACGGAAATTCGTTCGTGCGTGTTTTTAGTTACGTTTTCAGACTGAAAAAACTCTGTACATCATCATCCTCGTGTCTATTACACTTTAGTGCGATCAAACGAAAGTGATGAAGTGTGACTCTGTGCGCGAACATGCAGGGCGTAGCCAGGCGTTGTGCAAAATCGTCTGAAAACGAGCGACGACTAGGCGGTGCGTGACAGTCCGAGTCTGCCATTGGAAAGGATATCTTGTTGTCTTTTTCGCACCAGTGGCACTTTGCATACTTGGGAGTTCGCTGCATCATCATCATTATCCTTTCTCGCGCTCTCTCTTTCTCCCTACCTCTCTTTCCAACTTTTCATTCCGTAATACTATCCATTCGTACTACTTTGCACGCGCTGTACAGGCAAAACCCGAAGAACGTTCACGCATGGTGCAGTCGCGATCGCAACAAAGTTCCGAATTCAAGTACGAGGTAAGTTATTGACATTCCGTTTCGTTTTCCCTAACTGTACGGTAGCGTTTAGTAGAAAACGGATTTTCCGCGTCCGATTGATTTTATCGAACAGAAGTATATGAATAAGGGAGAGGCATAATATCTATGGGGGTGTGGATTCCATTGGCTGTCGGCATACAGTCGGTGCTTGGTTTCTGTGCTTTTGGCACACCCATTGCTGGGCGACCGCTGGTCAGCGTCTGAGTACGAACCAAGCGGAAGGACGAGTCTCTCTCTTGAGTAAAAGAGGGAGAGTAAAAGCCGGCATACCACAGACTTAGACTTCGCTCCATTTTCCTCCTTATTGAATTATTCCTCTCCCGGGGATTTCACTCGACCGGTCGCCGCGACGATTAATCTCGCGGGAAAGGAAGCACGTTCCGTGTGATTTCGGTTACGATAACGCGGAACAATTCCGTCTAGAAAGCGATCATCTTTAAAACGCGTCATATTTCGGAAGGGATAAGGGGGCGGCGACTTTCATTTTCCTCGAAACAAGACAAAAAAGAGATCGAGGAAAAAAATCGTAAGAAATTGTACAACCGTGCAGTCACGGAGTAGAGAGCAAAATTCTGACGTACTACGCTTTGTTCCGACTGGCATTCGACTTTCTCGTACCTAGCACGAGTTTCACGCTCCTGTCATGGTGCCGCCTTGCGTGGTTGGTCATCGTTCCGCATTTGTACGTACATATAAGATGATCTTTTTTTTTTTTGTAGAATGCAAATGCAACGTATTCGCGATGAAACCAACATACGGACGTTCTCTGAATTTCGCTTTAATGTAAGATCGTTATCGTCTCGACACTGATTATAATTTATGGATGGGATTATCAACTTGGCAATTCCGACGCAACGCTGTTTACTGCGTATAGCTGAGATAATAAGTTACGGAATTTCAGTTATCAAAGTATGTGCCTGATACCTGCGATTGTATTCTCGTGCGATTTTAAATCTCAAGCATGCCCGATCGGCTATTTTACCGTGAATCTTCATAAGCGTTAATAGAAAAGAAAGTTTCTATAGAGACATGTGTGTCGTAAGTAAAATCCAAGCGTAACACGTTTACAAAGTGGTACGTTTGATTTATTACGATCTTATTTAATAATTTATGAACGTGCATAAGATACGAATGTCTCTATCAGTTTCGAATGCTATCGATAACATCCAAAAACATTTCGCTTCGAATCTATCGTTATAAACTGAACATTGTTGTTTGGCAGAATTTTATTCAAGCAACGAATGATGGAGAACATTTTATTCGTCAGTAAATAATAGTTATAGCGGAATAAAAGTTAATTGCTTCTAATAAATAATAAGGGATAAAATTGTGTTGTGTTTTGTTCGTTAGTAAAAAATTTTACCTATTTCTGTTGGATATACAGCACTGTTTACAATTGTTCCAATTTTATCATCATATATTTAAACAATTAAAACAATGCGACTTTGAAGAAGTTTAATTTTAATATTTATAACCACCGTATCAGCTATTACAATTCGGTTTTCTCATTTCGAATTTACCACGATTGAAACGAATTTATAATTAATATTTCTATTTTAACTGTTCGAGGGAAAATTTTAGCATTAAATGCAATTAAAGATACACAAGCTTTAAATGTTAATATCTACACATATTTGTTCACATAATACGCAGTTATTTGTTAAACATTCAGCTACACAGATAAATTATACGTTTTCTTTTACTTGTAAATACTCTCGTGTCATTTTTCATTTACATTGATAACATACACTGACAAATTGTGTTTCTTTATCATTGTCATTGTTTCTTTATCATATTTATTTTAGATTTGTACAATTGATGAAGCTAATTTTCAAATGTAAATTTTTTGCTTAATTATATACTTTTATGCCCCAGGAATACTAAAAACACATGTTCGCCTTTTAAGTTACTAATCTGAGAAATAATAACACAACTGTTGTAAAAGTCAAAGTACGCTATCGTTCGAGTTATTGTGAACAATACTGCAAGCATGCGCGATTAATCTGATTCATTGCCGATACATGCACGGTAAATGTTTCTGTAAACTTGTATTTTACGTCCAATTATTATTACAATCGTTATAATTGTTTATTGATTTTCCAGCTATTGTTTTCTGTATAACGTTGCACCTTACGCGTATGTTTCTTTTCCCCATTAAATTACGATTGTTTCAACGTTTCGATTACACCTTGGTGTTGGCAGGTGAACGATCAACATGAACAGCAGATGACTGTTAGCCGAGCCAATGCTCGCTCGACTTTAATATGAGCGAATTAGTAGCTGTTACACCTAGTGGTGGATCGACAAGCCAGGAAAGCGTGGTACACATTAAACGACATAAATTAGCCAACTGTAATGTTCCTCTCGTGCACGGACGAACGAATTCGCCGATCAACAACCGTAACAGGCTGACCACCCATCAACGAAATCATAGTTTGGATTTTAGGTATGTAACGAATAGTCGTGGTCGCGTTGAATCGCTTCCGGAGGACATTTATAGATGCAGATAGCTGGTAATTTTTCGTGTCTGTTATCTGCTCTATAGTTCGCGGTAATATCTATACAAGGTGATTCTATGAACCGGGACAAAATGTAGTTATTCTCTGAATTAACATTTAGGGATCGGATCACTCTGCAATTCCTTTTTTCAATCCTTCGTTTTTCACAGGAGGACTCGACCTGTCCTCCTTTTATTTTAACCTACTTCTGCACAGTGGTTTATCACAAGTCCCCGATGTTATCTGTAAAATATTAGTTTAAATATTAGATACTATTTTTAGAGATACAAGTAATTGAAATAACGTACCTTATTATGTAGACTTTGAATATTAATTATTGTCATCGAAATATTCATGACGTAAATGGTATAAACAGGGAGTTTATGCGTTCGAAGAACGTGGATTTGAGTACCGTTCACCGAATATTTTTGTTTTAATTGCTTTCATTTACATTGCATTAACGATGTACGTGATACTAAATACTTATACATTATACATACAGCGACGAATAAAAGAAAGTTTAAAAGGTAAATGATTCGAAGAAAAGACCGTAATTTTGAATTATTTAAAAATAACATCGTAGCTGATTTTATTTTTTTTAAAAAGCGCTGGTTCATCTGTAAAAAAAATATTGTACAGTATGATAGAGCGTATTAAATAGCGAAAAATTTCTTTTATAATTTTGTTCCAACCCCACTTGAAATAGAGTTATAGCCCGTTCCAGTTACTAGTCTGGCTTCAAAGATTTATAAATTAAACGGATCAGAGTGAGTTAGGCTAGTTTTTTTTAAAGAGAACACTGCCCTCCTCCCGCCAGGAGGAATCATTTGTTCGCGTTTCAACTTCTATACTAATTGTCATTCCTGGTGAATTTAAACGGTAAACATTTAATAACAAAAACATTTCTCTCTGCCTTTTACTTGCTATGCTTTCACACGTTTGGCAAAAAACATAAACGAACTCCGAGCTTCGATCCGGCTATATTAGAAGTAGAAATTAATCGGGTATGTGTAAATATCTCTGACTTAAAGAAGTGGAGAAAAAGATTTGATGCGATCAACAAATTTATAGCATCTAAATTTAGACTTAAATACATTTAATAATATGAATACCGTGATTTCAATAACATGTATAAACTGGTTTATAAAAGGGTATATATTAAATGGAAATCCTACCCAGATACGCCCTTCTTGCACCGCCTCCCCTCATATCTCATGAACGGGAAGTCTCCGGCAATACGGACCACCATTGTGATTCTTGAAACATAAGCTTTCAAACAAGATACAACACAACCTCTTGTCATTGTCCCATTAATTGAAGTCGGATCTCATTTGGTGTGTTTCAACCCTTAAACGTGACAAAGATATTGTTAGAAATCGTGACTTTTAATTGCAATAGATGTTTATTTGTTGTACTTTACAAGTATTTTTTATTTAATCTTAACAAAAACTGGTATCTTCCATTGCACTTACTATTGTTCCAATCTTGATCTGTTATGTATACTTTATAGCAGCAATACCTAGCATGTTTATGAAGAGTCTACCATGGTGTACCTACAAAGATCAGATATTAATATTATAGTAAATCTCATTCTACTCCATTTTTTTGGAGGATAGATTCAGTTCTTTCCGTTTAGATTTTGCACTAAAAGTGTCACAGTACCTCGTAGTTTCATTTAACAAAAATAGGTATCTTTCATTGCACTTACTATTGTTCCAATCTTGATCTGTTATGTATACTTTATAGCATCAATACCTAGCATGTTTATGAAGAGTCTACCATGGTGTACCTACAAAGATCAGATATTAATATTATAGTAAATCTCATTCTACTCCATTTTTTTGGAGGATAGATTCAGTTCTTTCCTTGTTAGATTTTGCATTGAAACCGTCACAGTACCTCGTGGTTTCATTTAACAAAAATTGGTATCTTCCATTGCACTTACTATTGTTCCAATCTTGATCTGTTATGTATGCGTTTATAGCAGCAATACCTAGCATGTTTATGAAGAGTCTACCATGATGTACCTACAAAGATCAGATATTAATTTTATAGTAAATCTCATTCTACTCCATTTTTTTGGAGGATAGATTCAGTTCTTTCCTTGTTAGATTTTGCATTGAAACCGTCACAGTACCTCGTGGTTTCATTTAATCAAATGATCGCTTGATATTTGTCCAACGACATTGATTGTTTGCAGGTCAATGGGTATTCTATTGCCGCCGGTTCCGCAGGCGGGCGCGACGACGCTGACGCACCACCACAGAAATCGAAGTCTCGATTCCGCGCTACAACGAATCCCGGAGGTGGACGTGACGCCGAGCCCGGAATGCGAGACGACACCAGCCCCGGTGGCTAAGGCCGTGTTACCGGCGTGCAAAGTGCGCAGCCGGGAACGCGAGGATCTCGCCAGTCTGGGATCCGATGACTCGGGTATACTTTGCGGTTCCGATAGCGGTTCCAGCGACGCTACGAACGCAGCGACCAGAGAGTCGAGCGTGGACCACCTCCACAGCCGCGAGAGCCTCGACTCGTCGTTGTCGCAGCCGGGTGATATGGATGGCGTGGACGCGGTGGACGGCGAGGAAAACAGTGCACGCGTCTCGGTATCGGTGCCAGTGTCGCCCGTGGAACTGGTGCATTTAAGTGAACCTCCGTCGAGTAAGGGTGAGAATGGTGATTGCAACGAGCCGGGTAAACGCGAGTACGCGATCAGTGATTCGAGTGAACAGCATGAACTGCGGTCCGGCAGCGCGATCAAAGAGCTCGAGGCGCAGCACGAGTACACGCGCGGTGGTGAACTGCGCACCGATATGGGCGTAACGGTCGACGACGCGCGAGATTTTCAAAATTCGATGGCGGTCCTGCCGGCGAACGATAAACAGAGCGAGTTGGCGGGCGCGGCTATGACTTTGTGTTGCGGGACCGCCGTGCAATCCGAAGCCAGCGAGACGGCTGTAAAAAAACAGACTGGTATCGTTTGTCGGAGGCAAGAAACGGTTCAACCGAAACCGTCCGAGGGATGTTTGCTCAGATTATTCGAGAGCCAGATCTTCGATATGTCGATGGCGATCTCTTATCTGTTCAATTCTAAGGAGCCTGGCGTCCAGAGTTACCTTGGTGAGCATTTGCAGCGATCCATGACCGGTAACTTCAAACAGAGGCGGCTTCGTGCGAGAGCAAACGATGCTCATCATTAGGGTACCTCTAGCTAGGAGCGCTTCGACATACTAAAAAGAAAAAATTAAAAATATTAATAAAAAAAAACACGGTTATAATATATCAATTATATATTAAACTGAGAGATAATACTTTGTATAATTTAATAGATTTGGAGTATCGTTGTTATCTAGTTTGTTTTGTTATTAATGTGGATAGATTATGTAATCTGTAATTTTTGTAAATCGGTAACACGAAATATCTATTTTATAGTAAACAAAATTTTAAGAATGGTATTTTTTAGGGAACAAGATGTTTAGTTTCCCAGATAACGAGGTAGACTTCTATTTACCACAACTGGTTGTAATGTACATACAACTTCACGATGTTACAGAAGTCCTTTATCCATATCTTGTCCATAGGTATGTGTATATTAGCAAACGAAGATAATCGATATCTTTATTTATAAAAGTGTATGTAATGTCCAAAATATATGTATTAGGTGTAGACAGTCAGCAGATTTCTCTTTAAAATGTGCCTGGCTATTAGATGCATATAGTTCTGATGCTCATTTGCCATCCAAAAAGAAGTCTCATGGGACCAAACTAAAAAATCTTATTCTCTCGGATGAACTTAGGTATATAATAAAAACAAATAAAAAATAGAAAAATATGTTGTAAACAGAATAAAACTGTATAAATTTTCTGTATTCGATTTTTTTATATGAAACAGGCCAAAGGGAAATGAGACTAAGAAGCAACGTGTAGCTGGATTTCAAACTCCCGCACCAATATCGTTAACGGCGGTGCAAAGTGTTACATCTCCTAATAAAAAGACACACCAAAGATCTCAGTCCGACGCCACTGGATTATTTCAAACATTACGTCGTAGCCATTCCGGTAAATAGATCGAACAAATTCACACATTGTCTTATTACAAAATTGTATCAATAGTAATAGTACTTGTACAAACATAAATTTCACTATGTTTCTATTACTTATTTCAAGGTACAATAAATAAAGTAAGTCTTGGGGACCTGCGCTCTGGTCGAGCATTTGACAATGGTTGTACCTGTTTTTATTCCTGCCAAGGTGTGGTAAATGATTTACGAGGACAAAAAACCGACTGCTTTTGTAATGTAACTTGATTATCTTTATTCAATATAATTACCCTTTTTTTTTATATTGTTAATAATTCTCATGTACAAACTTGTACAATTAATAACATTTGTATTTCCAGGCACCACGTCTTGCTCCAGAACTCGAATTTATACAAGCATTAATATCAATTGGTAAATTGCTTGGAACTATTCCAACAAAGGAAAGTAAAACTGTTCAATTAATAGCAGAGCTTAATACTCTCAATTTGAATCTCCCTGCAAGGGTATGGCTTCCTTTGCACAGTTCAGTACCACATCATATCGTACGAGTGCCACCGCAATATGCTGCTGTCCTTAATAGTAAAGATAAGGTAAATTATCTAAAATAACAGTGTTATTATCCGCCTTTGTTAATGACATTTTTTATATGACAAAATATTAATGTACTTTATAACATTCAGGCACCATACATAATTTACGTTGAAGTGTTAGAAGTAGAAGATATTTATACATCGCCCGTACCGACAAAAATAGTGGGGTGTTCATTAAGGCACACTAAATCCGAAGAAAATTTAACTGGAGGCGAACAATCTACTGTGATTGATTCATCAAACATATCCGCTTCAGAAACACAACAGGCTATGCCACCAATTAGGCAAACTCCGGTTAAAAATATTTCTCCATATTCTGTGAGAAGTACAGATGTCGCATTTAACTTTCCTGATGATGATCCTAACGACTGTTGGAGTCAAGAAGATGATGAAATCACGCAACAGGTACTTGTTATACGTTTAGTCGATACATTTAAGGATCGAGGAAAAATTAAATACATAATTTTGCTTACTTTTTTTTTACAGTATTTACAACTTCGTAAGCCAAAAGATAGGGATACAATATCTCAGTTAAGTCAAGAATCATCAGATAGTAAAGAACCAACATTTGTACCTGGTGATATCAAGCGTCGATTAAGTGAGATGGCTGCTACACCTAGTGCAACGTTTAATCATGATCCGGAAGATCCGTCGGCCGCAGTCTTGAAAGAACCATGGGAATTAAAACAGCATCGTATAAGGGCTTCCAGCCCGTATGGCCATTTAGCGTCTTGGAAACTACTTGCTGTTATCGTGAAATGTGGCGATGACCTTCGACAGGAGCTACTTGCCTCACAATTACTTTCAATGCTGCAAAAGATCTGGCAAGATGAACAAGTACCTCTTTGGGTGCGGCCATACAAGTACGAGCACACCTTTACTATCACACATATTTACCAACTTGTCTGTAAAACAATTGATTAAATATTAAATTTCATTTTACAGAATTTTATGCTTATCTAATGATAGTGGTTTGATCGAACCAATTTTAAATACCGTATCACTACATCAAGTAAAGAAACAGTGTCAATTGACGCTTGTTCAATACTTCGAAAGAGAATTCGGACCATCTACATCGGAAACATTTAGTATTGCGCAGAAGAATTTTATTCAAAGTTGTGCGGCATATTGCCTTGTTTGTTATCTCATTCAAGTTAAAGATCGTCACAATGGAAATATTTTGCTTCATAGCGATGGTCATTTGATACATATAGATTTTGGATTTATTCTGTCAACTTCACCGAGGAACCTAGGCTTTGAGACTAGCCCGTTTAAATTAACACCAGAATTTGTAGAGGTTATGGGAGGAAGTCAATCTAAACAATTCCAAGAATTCAAAACCTTGATTCTCCAAGGATTAATTGCAGCGCGGAAGCACATGGAAAAAATACTTAATCTCGTAGAGATCATGCTATCAGGTAAGCATTATTTAGGTGAAATTTAGTAGAATATATTGATAATATATAATTCTTGTAAATTAAATAAAATATCGATTGTTGCAGGATCGCAACTTCCGTGTTTCCGTAGTGGCGGGGCAGCGACTGTACAAGGATTAAAAAATAGATTCCATCTTACACTGACAGAGGATCAACTACGCCGGCACGTGGAGGACTTAGTTGAAGCCAGTATTCATTCGTGGTCTACTAAATTATACGATCGGTATCAATATTTCGCAAATGGCACCCTTTAATAATAACAATAATTTTTGTCTGTGTGGCAAAGATAATGATTTTTATCAGAAAGTGAAAAACTTGCGTTTGATAATATGGTACTTCTTCCAGAAACTTTTACACTTTATAGCATTCCGTAAGCACAAATTACCTTTGAACTTAATTATTTGATCGCGCGTTGATAATGCTATTATAGATTTATTCCAAATAGGGTAGGCTGATTTCAATAGATTAATTTTACTCGCTCTTAAATTATTCCTTAGTTTTAAAAAAATAATATGACAGCCGTTTTTGATAAAACTTGTATAAATACCGCATTCGTCAGTAATTAAGGATGGTTTGTGAAAAGTATCGTTTACAAAATTGTATGCCTCACATTGCCCGTGAAAGATAGTGTACGAAACAGGGAATAATTTATGAAATTTTTATTGTTACGTTAAGCAATATTAAATATGTATAATTGGTTTTGTTGTGTACGTTAAAATGACTATGTATGCCTTATTGGCAACTACGAGTTAACTATCGTCGGTGCAGACTATGTGACATTGACTGAATGTTGAACTGCTAGATCGTTATAGCCTATAACAGCGTAATTTGTTAAAGGTGCCTTATTTGTAGAGAATGGCGGAATGATCAAATCTGAACACAGTGAAGTGATTATGTGTGTTGATCTATTAAGAAAAAAAACTGATCTATTACGAAAAGGACAATCTATAGTTTGTACATAAATACATTGCGCGAACTTTTGTCGAATTCCTTTCGTAGTTAATTTTCGGCAATAAATAATCCCACCATGATGATAATGAAGGAATTACACGGCGTTAAGATTCGTATAGGATCTTTCAATGGAAGAAGCGCGTAAACAGGCTCAGATATTAGCAGAAGACGAATACTCAAAATATTTCCTACTTTATAGATTAATACTATTATAAATACATTTAATTGTAACGATATGCTAAGAAGTAACTATATAGTAAGGATCACATTTGAAAGTTTTTACATGTTCTTATTACATACAATACATTAATAGTTGTAATGCGAAATATCTTAGTTGTGTGAAGATAGTTATTTAATAGTATTTCTGCGTTACATATGTTCGATTAAGTAAGTAAATTATAAAGTAAAGAGGTATTGTATATAAAGTGACAAATTTTATCACTTATCAGTTAAGATTAATTGAGAATGAATGTTTGAAGCAAAATCAAAGTCACAGCGAGCCAGCCTATGTATAAAATCTGGGCCGTCTGACTTCCAAGTGTCTTAACTCTCTTTCTTCTGTCATAACCGTCTCATGATAGAAAGGCGGATCAGAGATTCCGGATAATTGATATTGCATAACGCTCAATAAACTTTGCATTTTAATACTGTACATTTGCGTAAAATCGTTGCACTAATTTTTTTTAGTGTTACTATTTCAGCTATTTAGTGCAATTTTTCTATTTACCATAAACAATTGTAAATGTTATAACAAAAATTTCATTGATTTCATATAATAAATTCCACATATTCTGTACAAATTAAAACATTAGTATCTCTGATTTGCCTTGTTCTTTCGCCTCCAATTATGAGCTACTGATAATATCAATTATTAAATAAATATGAAATCCAATCAAATTTTTTTTTTATCGATATACCCAACGTCCTAGTTTAGTTAAAATATTAAGTACAGAATATGTAAAAAAGAAATAGAAAATAACTCAAAGATATTCAAATTTTTATTTAATTGTACATCGATTGCTACACGGCGCTTTTAACTAGCAACATTAAGTAAATAATTAATTCTATAAATACGTATTAGGATATCAGTCATAAGAAATTCGGGAAGTACGGATGTACATATATAATTGATGTATATGACAATGAAAGCATAAGTATCATAAATATCACAATAAGTTATGATTACAGAGATCATACAAATGTCTTATATTCTAGAGAGCTGTTGTAATAAATTAGAAGGTAAAATAGCTTCTAATTTGTCTAAAATATAATAAAATGGATGAGAAAACCAGGCAAGCATCGATCGTGCAACTACGCCCATAGTATCAGGATACTGATGCGTTAAAAGCGCTAAGAGTGCTGTAAAGGAACATAGACCTGCTGTAAATAAAATAAAGAACGGCAACTCCTTCTTTGGGTAGACGCTTACATCATGAAACGAAGGTAATAGTTCACGATCTGCATATTCTGTGCAGGTCGGATACGGATAAAATAAATGTCCTCTTTCCAGGGGATATGGTAACATTCTGAATGTACCTTCCCAAGTACAATGTAGTAAATTGAGAGCACCTTCCATTTGTTTCCAATGTGCAAGATGGAAGAATGCATAAGCAATTGCTTCTGAATCTCCTCTTTTCAGTACATGTTCTGGTGGTAAAATCAAAGGTTTCATTTCTAGTAAATATTTAGGTACATGAGGATTGAATTCAACAGCTCTATGAATAGCTTCAACTGCTATCATTTCTGGAGTAGTCAAGCCTCTTTTACTAGCAATGTCTGTTGAAAACTTATCAGCAACTACTCGCGCTTTCAATAATGCAGCTGTATAACAAATAGTTGCTGATTTCGGTAGGTTTATATCATCGTATTTCGTTAATACTGATTGAACATCCGCGTATGCTTGCATTTCTAATAAAGCTTCAATCAAATTTTCATGAATATTTAACACATTCATAATTGGTGGAACTTCTTTTGTTAGATCCCTAAACATTTTTACAGCTTCTTTTAGTTTTCCTAATTTTCTCGCGCACATAGCTAATCGTCGTTTAATATATATTAATACATTTGTGTCCCTCCTATGTATGGCTTCCGCGATCGATCCTTGATGTTGCGTACTCTGAGATTTTCTGTAATTATTTTCTGCTACCTTTAAAGCCTGTTTCAAAATTTTTTCTGCTTCTACGATAGTGATAGCTTCTTCTTCAGCAAGTAATATATACGCAGGAGCACAATCAGGGTTACGATCAAGAGCACTGTGGGCTGCTTTTATTCGCACTACCGGATTACGTTCCCTCCAAGCTGTTTGCATTATTTCATATTCTGCCTTACCTGCCAGAAGTAGTTAATCAGTATTTAAGTGTTAACAGGTAGTTAATATCACTTGTACAGCATTTACCTGTATCACCTTCGCAGGTGAAAAATGTTTGATGATCTTGAGCAGATAAATTCATATCGTAATATGTTAATGGTTCTTTATTCGTAGCCCAATAAAATCTTTGATATTCAGCCCCTCTAAACAAATTTATTGGATTACGCCACACTTTACATTCCGGAATGTTTTGTTGATTCGAATTTGAACCATTTAAACTTGAATTATTTCCATCTGATCCACTGTCACCTCCACCGATCCACGGGGAAATGTGATTTAAGGACACTTGCTCGATAAATGATGTTCCATATTTTCTAAAGTACCACCATTCAAAAATAAGAATCAATCCAGAAATTAAAGATGATGTTCCGGTAAGAGCGACGTAAAATTTTGGGGTTAAGGTACTCAAAAACATTGCGGAATCCCACATGTTTGTGAATAATAGGGCCATTTATAATACTTAAACACCGAGTATATTTTTTGTGTGTTCTTTATTGTTCCAGATTGCACTAATATTGTTGAATATGGTACTAATTAAACATCATAACACTAAACGATACTGCCAAATCCTTACATCATTGGAAAAGTGTTACTTTTGATATTACGTCTTAACTAATAAAAACAAAACAATCTTTGCGAATACTCTCAACATTTACACATGTTTTCTTTCAAATTTTCAAATAAGGCGCAACCGCTTTCATTCTACTAACAAACGTGGTGGCATTTATTTTGTCTGAAGTTGTCGAAATCAGAATCCTAACACTGCAACGAGACTTTTCGAGATTCGTAGCGCTTGCTGCGTCACTTTTAAGAGATATGTATATTAAACCCGGTACAATTTCTTTTTAGCAGATAAGTAATTAGAGAAAAATATAGAATTCTATACCCTAACAATAGTATAGAATAAACGTTCGAGGCACTGACGACGTACGAAATAGACTTGACATTCTAGAAGATTTCGTCACAGACTAGGTACAGAATAGATCTATCATCCAACACATTTTCGTGTAATATGGTTCGCAGGGTTAATTTGTTTTAAATGCTTTTGTTCTAGCACCTATCATTGATATGATATGGTACTTATATGCAACTATTTAAATTATTTACGAAACTATACAATAATATAAAATAATCTAAGGGCAGAAGTAATAATTTAAACGTTCACTTACGTGGCTGCCTTCCAGGACGTGTCACTTTAACGGAACAGTTTTTCACTAAGTAAACGATTATAGTGAAGCAACGAGAATAAAGGTGAGTAGGGAGGAGAGCTTGTAGACTAGCAGAAAAGCATTTGTATTTTTACTATGAACACTTCCATTGCGTTACATTTATTTGATTTTATTGTAACGCTCACCTCGCGCTGTCCTTGAATCTCGTCGCCCCACTATTAATTGTATCCGAACATCACTATACGTCGATCACGATTGTAATGATATTTAAAATAACTGACGACAGCTAAATCACAGACAAGGTATAAAATAGATGTTACATGCAATGCTTTTTTTGTTACACGGATTGGGGTTTCGTGAGCCCCCTTACTATTTCCGTATCACTTTCAATGTTATCGGTTCACACTGGAATTCGAATTTAGCACTCCTAGTGTTATGTATTAAGAATTTAATTATTTCGCGTGCAATCAAAATTCAATTTCACGAGCGGTATTTTAATTAAAACGATTAATTAAAAATGAATACATTTACATATTATTTGTTACATATTTCCACCGACAGAGTTACTATCGAATCTATCGAATGATCGAAAGTCGATGTTAGGCATTGTGACGTCACAAGAATATAAAGATAATAAATCATTAATTAATTGTTTGTTTGGTATTTTTTTGTATTTATTTTATGTATTTACTTGATTTATTTTCAGTTTTTCGAGATATACGGTTTAATTTTTCTTTCAGAAATATACACCGAGAATTGAGACGTAGAACTACGTGACCATTTCACCCCTCCGCGCTTTAATTTCATTGGTTAACGACATTGGTGGCGTCATTCGTTCTGTAGAAATTGGTGTAGCGAGATGTGTTGAAAATTTTGCGTCTAATGAGGTACGTACTTTTTACTTATTATCATTTAAACGTTTCTAATTGCTACTAGTACTCTCTGTCACTCTCTGTTGGTGATTTCGTATAATATTAACACGTATCTATTATAAATTCAGTCAGAATCGCGAAGAAAGTTGAATCAGTTTCGCGCGTCTTTTTCCATACGTATTTAACATGAATATTCATATTTCTAAACAAAATTAACAACTCATGAAACATATTTCTGTTCAGTTGATACTCAATTAACATATAGATACATTGATTTTGATTGCTGCAATTCAACCGAACGGGACGCTATCGGCATGCAATCGACGCCATGTTTGGAAATCGCGAATCGAAGGAATTTGAAATTGCGCATTGACCAGAAAATTCGGAGGTGATTTTAGCGGCCTCTTCTCATGGATGGCGGTCAGTTGAGAAACTCACTGAATTAGTGTGATAGGCAGCAGACTAGTTGCGTGTAAGTGCATACGAGTTGAAAAGTACGAATTATTCGCGTTTCCTTGACTAGTTAAAGTTGTAAATAATTTGCTAAAATCAGTCTATCCGCGGTTTCTATCCGAGGCATCCCTCGGGTTCGTAATACAAGCTTCGCGAGACATCGGAGCTTCCCCCACCCCGTCGCCTAATTCGCGAGCGTTGCCGAGCACAGCGGACGGCCATCATTCATACTTTGAAAATAAACATAGCAAGACGTGTCAAGACGTATCGGCGTTTCGCGACCGAGGTGCGTATTTCTAACCTGTTTATCCTTCCACTATTACTACTCGCGTATTACTACTTACGATCTCTTGCAATACGGTTTCGATTTAATCATTACTCAATTGTAATAATCGTTTGCGAACTTTAATGCATCGTTATTTCGTTTCTGTTACAGTCTCGTACTGGAATTCGAAATTAAGAAATAATAAGACTTGTTGGAACCTGTCAAGACGTGTCGGCGTTTCGCAACCAACGAGGTACATATGTGTTTCTAACCTTTTAATATTTCTTCATTGTTATCAATTATTGTTTAATTATGATTTAATTTGTATTTCATTTCTGTTGCAGTCTCTGATTGAAATTCGACGCCATGGGAACTTCTATTGGCGCGTAAACGACACCATAACAGATGGCAGACAAGTCGACAAATTTTGGAGGGAGTATTGGTAACGTTTAAACAATTCTAACAAAAATTGACGGGCATATTAATATTTATATATTTTTATTTCTTTATTAAATCATTCTTTGCAAGCATGATTATAATTTTCTACTCGGCCATTTTTAAGATAAAATATCGAAATCGTTAACAAACTCTTTATCCACTTCGATATAATATCGAAGTATACAGAAATAGCGTCGGTAGATATTGACGATAAATTGAAATAATTCATATTTAACTGTATTCTGATCGCGATTGAATATTTTCGAGTGTTATTTATTTAATTGATTGTTTATATTTCTTTATGAATTGTTGTAATTGCGATTTGTATATATATTTCGATACAAGTTTAAGAAAACGTAGTAACTACGGAGTTGAAATATGCTATTCGAGCATAAATAACTAGCGAACTTTAATTCTTGCAAATTTCGGAATATTTATAAAATTTACGGGATATTCTAACGTTCGATAAAGTAAATACAATCATGCTTTCAACTCTAACTATGAAACTTGGTGATATAATATTTATAAGTTGAAATTCTCATTGATTGAGAATATTTTACATGATAAACTATGTATACAGCAGTGCTAAATAAAGCAGTGTTTCCGTTGTTAAAGTCTAGTAAGAAGGAAAAAGAAAATGAATAGGCTAAGCACAGATGTGCTTGTTGTGTTTCTTGTCTCCTGTCCCTTTCTTTTCAGCTCTTTTCTTTCCAGGAAATTTGTTGGCCGCGCGCAATGCGGCCGGTAGATTCAGTGATTGTACGTAGCAACAAGTTTGTTTCTCGGGGCAAAGTGACCCCGAGTACGTTGTCGTTTACGATGTTAGGCAAACGCGAGAATAGAAGCAGTGTTTCTTACGCAGTATTAAATTATTTCCAGAGCATCGTGGCTCTTTCTGTTTTCTGAATCGCGATAATAGAATCACTTGTTCGCCGATTTCAATCTTCGGCCGCGGTAATCTAATTTAATACTTTCCAATGAAATTAATTATTTTTTCAATTTGAAATTTAAACTCCTCGTTACCGGAATTAGAGTCAGTGCATCACTGAAGAGGATTATTTGGCAATGCTCCACGAGCAAACAATGTAAGTATAAATTTATACTTTGGAATTTGTTAATTAAAAATCTCTACAGTTTTAACAATAGATTCTAATTGTTTTCTTACAGTTTTCTTACAGTTTCTGAACATGATCCTGGGAACGAGTAGCAGTACCCGGGGGGTATCTGGCGGTGGACCACGAGCGAACAACGTAAGTATAAATTTATACTTTGAAATTTGTTAATTAAAAATCTCTATAATTTTAACAATAGATTCTAATTGTTTTCTTGCATTTTTGTTACAGTCTCTGGACCTGAATCTTACCAGCAGGACCATGCTGACTGATGGATGACTGATGGATGATTTCGAGGACTTCAAGTCATCACTGGTAAGTCGCATGCTATTTTGTTTCCTCTGGTCCCCAACCATGTTGTAGGATGAAAGATCCGAATCAACACGGGTGACCAGTTGTATACTTGCTATTTTTGACGAGTTAAGTGAATAGTAACATCCACTGTTATATTTTTTAGAGCAGGTTTTAGGGTCTTCTTGCACTCGCGTTTCTTAATGTTACAAATGAATAGTACACATTATGATTATTATAAAATTTTTACAAATATACAATCTTTATAGAATATATGAAATATTTTTCTTAACTTTATATGAGTTGTATGATCGAATAGAAAATGAATTAATATAATGTGAAAACATTATATTTATCATGCGATTTAACGTGCAAGAAGGTATTTCGCGACAGGTCGATTTTTGAGTCAAAGTAACATGCATTTTATACTAGTTTCATCTTTTAAAAAGTTTACTTTGACGACAAAATCGATCAAGGATAATTGAATATTTTGATTGACAATTTAATGAATTCATTTCAATTTTTAAAGTAAATTCTTTTATCATGAAATCTCAAGTAGAGTCTTTCATTTTAAATAATTCAATTTCAATTGTAATAGTTTTATCGAATAGTAGTATTTTTCAATATTATCGTATTTTATTATTGATATATTACATATAACAAGTCGAGTCATTTTAACTAACAATTAGATACGAAATACCGTTTAGCTATTAACCAGTTTTTCTAGTCAGGATTTTCAGACTAATTTTTCCGTGTTCGTTGCCTAAGTTCATGCACATGCCCAGGTGCTATTTGCATGAGCGAAGGCAACGGGGCACGATGAATTTATTTATAACAATTCAACGACATATTGACGACTGACATTGGCTAGTGAATCATGCGCGACGTACTGTCCACATGTGTGTGTGTGGTTAGGTTGTGGAAGTGCGTCGTTTCAGATGTTTTATGATTGCGATTTACATACAGAATTTTATAACATTAGATTTTTATCAATAATAATATCAAATTTCAATTTATCATTTATTTGAATACTGTTGATCTTAATGGATTTGAATCTTAATATTTTTCAATCTTGAATGATACATCCATACAATAGATTTTATTAAAGACTATATTCCATATATTGAAACGTTCTATACAAACGTTTATTTATATAATATAAGAACGCAAAGATCACTAGCCTTTGTCAGTCTCAGAAACTAGTAAGTGCACAATTAGAGTGTGAATGTTTGCAATATTCGGGTGTCGGAGGAACCCCGGGGAGTCCTCT